AGAAATTCAACGAAATAGGATATATCATACTAACGGAATCCAAAATGGTTCGCCTTTTGCCAGCACATTCGAAAGGTGCCGCAAAAGCTGTTTTTTAAAACTTTCCTGACAAGCAGAATTGGCGTACAGCGACCAAAAAACTTAGGGACACTTCTCCTCAGATCATTGTTTTAGACATGGCCAGGGAAAAAGTCATGGAAGTGAAAATGGAACCTGGTAAATCACCAGTAGTTTCTTCCAATAAAATTCGCAAAGAGATTCTAGACGCGTACCTGAGCTCGCAACCATCTTATTAGCGCAACTTTCTGCAAAATATGATTTTTACTAATGCTCTGTCCAACCCAATTAAACAGAGACCGAAACTTTTTGGCCCATTACCTACCAATTACGACCAATTAGTTCGCGATGCAAAGCGCTTGTGGAGTATAACTCACGCTCACTCCTCTTCCAATAAACTTATTATAGCCAAAATCGATAGAGTTATAGATGCATTGACCCCTTTTCAACGACCAACTGGTCCTACAACGTCCCGCAACCACGACAAAAGATCGACCCACATTCCATTCAAACGGAACACTACTTTCAAACGCTCCAACCTCTTCCGGGCTTACGATCGTTTCAGCCAAAAGGATACTCCTGGGCGAAATTTCGTGCGATTCGCACCGCAACATAGTAAACGATTTAAGCAACATTCACAGCAATCGTACCGACCAACCTCACCATATCCCCGCCGCCCTAGAAATCATTCCATACCTCAACAGCCTCAACAAAATCGTTCTTGATCTCCACCGAGTCATCAAGTCAACTCTATTCTCATTACTCTTTCACCGACACCATTTCAACCACTCACTTCTCTCTTCATCGTAACCATTATTGCCTCCCTAGCGATACCGCTATCTTCCTTCTCTTTGGGCCCATCGCCTTTCCTGATCCTTTGACGTGCGTTAGTGCACCTAACGCATCGAACGTTCTTATAACCATTGCAAATGTTTACGTTGAACGTTCTGAACCTCTTTTTATGACAGCATATCATTGTTCCAACAAAACCAGAAGAATATGTGCATCATCCTATCTTGATTCATCTTTTTCTCTCAATAATGATGAAGAATTTATGACATCAATTTACCCAATTCTTTGCAAATATATAACAGAGACTAAAAAATATGAAAACATCCCACTAGAACCCTCATCACCTAATGTATATGGTTCCGATAACCAAATTCATTACCCTTACACGTGGTTTTTCGGGGAGAAATGCACTAGTACCACTAATATCTACTTCGAAAAAGGAAACATTGCAACTTTTGACGAGAATCACCTAATTGGAAAGTTCGGAGATATGGCACATTGTAAAATAGATGCCATGCAATGCCATCTTAGACACGGTACTGTCATATGGGACAAACCACCACGTTCACACTAATATGTCGATATGTTAAAGCCATACAAGTGATCGCATATGTAACACCCACCCATGTAATATTTGATGATATTCAATCGGCGTTTACGAATAAAAATATATCACTATCACCATCCCAAAAGAGCGCCTGGTGTTTAAATTCTAGCGCCATACCTATGGACAGTGGTGTATTCATAGAACTGCCGGAATTAAGAAATCATGACCCTTGATCCGTATTCACTCAAAACCCAGATGTGGTAAGAACTATTGATCAATAACACTTTTACAACTCGCAGTTAGTCTAATTCGTAGATACACTCACCCATATCGAGCAATCCTCGAGACAACCCTTAGGTGTTCATTCATGTAGATTTGCGGAACCAGACGACAAAGATTTGCACTCGTTGCCAGTACGTGACAGCGAGCCTACATTTGATCTTAATAATAGGAACCTCAAGTTGCTGTATAACTAGGCAACCCAATCTTTCGAAAGTGAACTCCTGTCTGAGTATTTCATCCAGATCTTAGGACAGCCAGAGATTAGTCGACCCATGGTGAGAGCAAAAGCGCGACGTCGAAACACCGAGGACCCTACACGAGGTCAAGAACTAATGAGTGTTTCAATACAAATACCCTCAATGGATATACCTTTACCTAACGTACCACCAGGTACCAAAGTCCAATCCACGTCAGTTTCATAATTTCCTCCCAACTGTTTCGTGCATTCGAAACACACAAAGTAGTAAGTGATTTACTTACCCATTTCATACAATGATATGCTGATCATAGCCCTTCTCGACACAGGCTCGGCTTTAACCATAACTTCCGAAGCTATAGCTTGCATTAACAGAGTCACAATATCACCCACGCCAACCACGCGAGGAATTGCTGGTGACGGATCTGCAATCACATTCCTAGGTGAAAAAACCACTCTTCTAAATATAAATGTCAGAACTCTGTCTACAACTTGTTTTGTCGCCTCAGACGCAGTCTGTCCTTCCTCATTTATCCTTGGCAATGACGTGATTACTCTATTCGGAGATACCCTATCAATTAATTACCCACAACGAACAGTTTCATTCGATCACACCTCCGTTCTACTCATGACTACAAACAAACAAACAAACAATAATAACCTCCCAATGCCAGTCTTTCTTCTTAAAGAAATGACTCTCCAACCGTTTACTGACCATGTCACAGTAGAAACAACCAAAACCTCGTTTCTTCGATATCGGGAGCTCTTTACCTCCGACGCTTTATCTACAAAACTCTCCACCCAGAGGTGTTGTCGTAGGCAAAACTCTATCTTGCACGAATTCTCAGGGTACAGCCACTATTCGCATATTTAATGCTAATCCTACCCATACAATATTAACAAAAAATACCCAAGTAGCCACAGCTGCGGTAGTGGGAATCAACGCTCCATCGGAACCCATTTTTTCAGTGTACACGGATAACCATCCCGACCACAATAAAATCGCAGAATATGTACCACCCGAGGCCGATTTCGAACTACCATTTTTCCCAAAACCTTCAGATCCCCTACCTACTTACAATCGCGTTACACTAAATTCGTCAGTTTTGAAAACAGAAAAACTCCGACAACTCCAATGACTCCTTCGCGACTACAGTGACTGTTTTGTAGGTAATGATGGATGATGGTAATGATGTTTTGTAGGTCGTTATAACGGTTCCATCACTCACAATATCAACTTTGTACCCCACTCAGAAATACCAAAGCAACGCCCCTATCGGGTATCGTTAGAGAAACGTCGGGAAATAGAACGGCAGATAAAAAAATGTTAAGGACAAGTCTCATTGAACCAAATGCTAGCAACTTTGCGTCTCCAGTAGCGCTAGTTAAGAAAGGCCCTAATAAGGACCAATGGAGGTTCACAGTAGACTACCGGCAAATCAACGCAATTACGGAAATAGAGTCTCACTGCATACCACATATGCAGGATATTTTAGACCTAGTCAAAGGGAAAGAACTGTACACAGTTCTTGATTTCAAAAGTGGTTTTTTTCAAATTCTCCTATCCCCGAAACGCAAGTATCGAACAGCTTTCTCTTCCTTCCTCGGGTTATAACACTTCACAATAATGGTGCAAGGTCTCAAAGGAGCTCCGACAACATTTCAACGTGTAGCCAATAGTCTCATAAGAGGAATACGAGCTTGTTGTTTGCATATATTGGTGACATAATCCTTGCAAGTCACCAGTCAGTCGATCAGACCTCAGAGACCTAGAAGAAGTATTCCGACGCATTCGAGCGTTTGGAATGAACTTAACACCAGAAGAATGTTCCTTCTTCCAAATTGAGGTGGAATACTAGGCGTTATTATTAGTAAAAGTGGTACTGAGCCAAACCCTGATAAGGCAACTAGTATAGCCAATATATCACGCCCGAAAAATGTCAAAGCAGTCAAGTCATTTCTTGGAGCCGCTTCTGTTTTCGTCACTATATACCGCGTTTTTCCATTATTGCTACACCCCTCCACAATCTCATGCTTAAAAATGCCCCGTTTGATCGGACAGAGACTCATAATCAAGCGTTCAGTGCGCTGGAAAAAGCGCTATCGGAGGCGCCTCTTTTGATTTCTCCTACATCAGGACAACCCCACATCATTCATACTGATGCGTCCACCATTGGGTTAGGTGCACGTCTCCTACAGACTAGTGCACAAACCCAAGGAGAGTAACCCATTGCATACGCTAGTCGATCTCTGAATAGACACGAGAAAACTACGTAGTTATTGAACTAGAGGCCTTAGCAATAGTGTTCGCGCTGAAACAATTCTTCCCATATATAGCGATTGCGCGAATCACCCTCATCACGGATCATGCGCCCCTTAAATCGTTAATGCACAGATCGGTTTTGGTAGGACGCTTGACGAAATATCAAACAACAATCCAATTTTACGATTTAACAATCGAGTACGGGTGTATGTCGCTTGGCGCTGCCCCGCACAGCCACCTTGCCACTGGGGCGCATAGGCTCGTGATTGCCTCCTTGGCGCCGCCCATTCGACTCGGTTTGTGAGCTGGGCAACTCGTCCAGCTGATTCAACCTCCTGACAATGCTGGTCAGCCTACCCACTGCCCATCCAACGCCCGATCGATTACGCCGCTATAACTAGATGCCGAATTACGGACTTACCTGCCTTCTGCTTATTTCTACTGCATATTTCGCTATTTTTTCGCCGTTTTTTTTGCTTCTCGGGTTTTTTGACCCCTTTCTGCAATGGGTTCTGCTAAGCTACAATGGAGTGGAAGTATCATGGTCGTTTTGGAGCCTGATACCTACCAATTCAAAGTAATTTGCAGAACATATGATGTTATGTATGATGGACTGATAGTGTGGTGAGTTTTATCGTTGTTTCTTTTTGAAAAACATTCGTTTGTCATTATATTTATTTAAATCATTTTCTTTATTGTCATGCGCATTATTAAATAGTCTTTCCGGATACATATCTCGACATATATTTACAATATTCTTCTATTTCAGCTCTCGTAACTCCTCTAAGGTACCGCTCTCCGAACCTAAATAGATAGAGGTTATTCATATACTTTAGCACCAGTTAACTTCTATTTGTACCTTTTCATGCTGTTCTCAATGTTTTGCCTTCTTTCGTGATCCCTCTTTCGCAGATGCTTTTCCTCGTTGGTATGCTGGAATTGTTACTGTTTCTGCCCCAGATTTTAGTTGCCTGCGTTGGTTGCAAGAGACTACTAACCTCCATTATCCACTGCAGTGAACGTTTTGCCCCGGAGTCGATGTACTTCAACTTCTTTATCAGCGTCCTAGGATGGTCTCTTCCGAATTCCACATTGAGGCGGCTGAAATTCAAAAGGTATTAAGTTGAAGGTTATATTACTTGCTAGATTTAAAGCTTACTTGTGGTAGGCCTCAGCTTACTTGTGGTTCTCAAGTTCACCAATTCCCACTTGTTCCACATATCCTTGTACGGACCATCGAACCACGTCGAGTGCAAGTATTCCAGGAACTCCTTGTATTTTCGTAAGCGACGTGGTCTTCGGGCACTGGTGGCCTCCATAGCACTCTTCCCTGAAAAATACTTCAGTTACAGCATGCCACTTTGCATTTCAGAAAAGGAACTTACCTCTGGGTAGAGACGCTTTGGCAAGAAAACCATTCCTTTGATGGTGTCCCACCATTCCGCCACGACTAGAACTCGACCATGCCCCTGCATAAAGTTTCTCAAATTGCACGTGTCTCGCAACCTGAAATAAAGTTACGCTGGGATTTTTTCAATGTTACCTGCTAAGCAAAGCTTTTCCAAGCAGCACAGCAAAGCTATTCCAAGCTTGCGCTAGATGAAAAGCGCAGCCTTCTACTTTCGCTTCGGAAAATAGGCGGCGGACGGCTGCTATGGACGCCTTCTCGAAATCGAGGACAATCTGCAGTGGTTGCACTGGCCTCGGGCGGTACCTCTCGAACAGGTTCTTGAGGTGCCCGAAAATGCGTGTGTAGACATCCTCGGTTTTTCGCGCCGTCATCGAGTATAAAAGAGGGACCTCGACACCGCCGTTGCACACGTCATGGACACAGTAGAGCTGCATGAGCTCTTTCGGCTGCTTCGTGTGCACTCCGTCAGCTACGAGATGGCGTACAAGCCGTTCGTGCAAGCCATCTGTAACGATACATCAAAGTTGTTTTCGATATTGCACAGATTTTGCGAATAATAAACATGCAACTCCTGGTCCTACTCGTGCACAAACGTCCTACCATCGGAGTTCTTCCGGTACGTTGTCGAGAGTCACTTCTCATTTAACGAGCTGATGGCCCTGAAAGGAACCTTGGACGTTGAATGTTCTTCAGTAATAGGTGCATGTCAAATGACCTGGGAATAGCCTGCCTTTTCATTCCGAATCCCCATCCATACAGCGACTTCATAACGTCCTCTGCAACAAAACCAATAGTGCTGTTCAGCTTTCTATGTTTGAAAATGAGACTTAACATCATATTCTTAACTAGCTTTCGTCATCATTTCCTCATAAAGGTGCCGTGGAACACGTCCTGCATATAATAGGTTACCCTTAACTTCTTGAACTTCCTGGAAAGTGAGATGATTGCAGACTCATATAACATAAATGTAAGTTGTTATGGGAACGTCATATCCTATCCTTTCGGCTTTATCTCCTCCCGCTTCATTGGGGGTGCAAACATGGTCGATGGTGCATGGTTCGCTAACAAACTCCTCACCGATCACCTCAAAAAAAAGATCGTTATGTTATATTTCATTTCAAAAAATGAGTTGAGAAAACTATGTGGAACTTTTATTGTTTTCCAGGCACTCAGTTTCTTGCAGCCCACGCATTGATAGACGTCGTAGTTATGGTTCTTCCAAACCAATGCGAACACATACGTAAGCGTGGACCTGGGATTGTATAAGTTAGCACTTCCCTTTTCCCAATTTTACTTACCTACTTCTGTCCCTTGAATGTTGACGGTCCAGGCTGAGTTGCATAACCGCTGAAGTTGACTTCACCGGCTGTTTGGGTCGGCATATTATTTAGAATACTATAAAGGGTCTGATTAGGGCCGCTACTGTTTGGAATACTATGAGGGACTTCCTGAGGAACATTATAATTTGCAACACTATAAAGAGCTTGCTGAGGGTTATTATTTAGACTATTATAAAGAGCATGCTGGAGAACGTTATAATTTGAAATATTATAAAGTTGAGGGCTATTATTAGTTAAAGTACTGTAAAAGGCCTGATGAGGGCCATAAGCGCAGTAGTACGGAAGCATATTGAAAGCAAAACACAAAAAGTGAACGTGCGGAAGTAGCAATGCTGATGCCAGGATTTATAAATGACCCCAAAAGCAGGTCATGCCCCTTCTCAACCTTAACACTTCCATTTCTTGAAAGAATTGATAACGCCACTCGTTCTCTCAGGGCATATTCAACGAGTAATGACATCGCACATCCCATTCTCTGAGGAAGCTGTGACCTACAGCGTTCTCTAGGGGCATCCGAAAAGTGCAATAGCTGCATCGCACCTTTCCCAGTTCCCGATGGCACAAGTTTGTGATGAATGTCTCTGTGTCACTCGTATAAAAGGCAGTGAATATGTAGATCCGACATAAAGTAAGGTAAAAGTGAATAGAGAATAGTATAAATCATTGTACCTTCATATATCAGTCACATATGGAAGGTAAATACAATTTACGTGCTGCATAATTAAAAAAACCAGCTGTGAGCGAACTGAAAAGAAGAATGTGTCATGATCCCATATTGGTCATGAAACTATACTCTACCAGCAAGCAAACAGCATATTGATAGCACTTACCTGCGATGGAATCAAGATAGTAGCTGAATACAGGACTCAATCGAATACAAGGGGCAGTACAGTGAATAGTAGCCGAATACAGTAGATAGCCGAATATAAAAAGTAGTTCAGAAAATATGAGAACCGAATACATGTGATAGCCGAATACAGATGGTAGTCCAATAAAGGTAGTAGCCGAATACAGCAATACAGCAGTTGGTCGAACAGAAATGGTAGTCCCATGAATACATTTGACGAATACGGAAGGTACTTTAATGAATATAACACCTGAATGCAAAATAAAGTAGCCAAAATAAATGAGACAGTAGGATGCAACAGATCGTCCATTGAATATAGTTAGCTCAATATTCACGCAGTTAGATGAATAGACACATAGTTAAAAAAGTAAGAAACAATTACACCTTATAGTAAACCTAGTGCTAGCATTGCTACACTAAACTAGGGACGCATAGGAAAGAATTAACATAACATATGTTGTGAAGAAAGATGAAATAAAAATTATGCTTGAAGTTTCGAAACACTTACCGCACGATAAACTACATGTCAATAAAGTGAATGATGCAAATAAACATTATGATGAACCAATGCTTTTCAAAAAGATAAACGATAAAACACTCACCACACTAACAGTCCATCATACATATGTACTGCAAACTACTTTGAAGTGGTAAATATCAGGCTCCAAAACGACCATCATACTTCCACTCCATTGTAATTTAGCAGTATCCATTGCAGAAAGGGGTCAAGAAACTCAATAAGCAAAAAAATGGCGAAAAATAGCAGAATATGCAGTAGAAATAGATAGAACGCAGGTCGGTCCGCTATTCGGCGTTTAATTATAGCGGCGTCATCGATGGGGCGTTGGATGGGTAGTAGGTAGGCTGAATAGCATTGTAAGGAGGTTGGATCAGCTGGACGAGTTGCCCAGCTCACAAACCGAGTCGAATGGGAGGCGCCAAGGAGGCAATCATGAGCCTGTGCGCCCCAGTGGCAAGCTGGGTGCGAAGGGCCGCACCAAACGATCGCCTCCAATCGAGTACCGCGCAGGGAAGCATAGTACATTCTGCGATTACTTGAACAGGTGTCCCAAACCAAACGTACATTCCGTGATGACGCAGTCTTTTCTGTCTCTTGAACAGACTCAAGAGAGTCAAAGAAACTTAGGAATGTTCATCGTACAATGCAGCCTAATCCGATGGTGATAGCGCTTCCGATTTCTGATACTTATGATTTCTTCGCCCTTTTTCCGCCCTCCAAAGAAACCGTTTTAGCGCTTCCTCCTCAGTAAGTCGGGAATTGCTAGTGGTTCCCGGCTCAAACCCTGCCCGGTTCCGAGTCCGCTCGTTGATTCCGAGCGCGTGAAGAGGGGAAGCGAACGCTACTCAGGCGCTCACAGGGCGGAAACTCATTACAAAGCTGACTTCGAGGTCACGGCCGAGGTCTTGGCGCGAGAATCGCAAAGATACTCACGGAAGACCCNCGAAGCATTCTCGAATCAAGACAGTAGGTCAAAAGTGGACCGGAGGGAAGAACGCCTCACAATCATGCGGAGCTGAGGCCGTATATATGATTGGCTTTCCACCAGTGAGTCTGGATCACATCAGTCCGTAGTGTTTACTGGACCGTTGCTGGCTTCCAAGTGGTCGCGAGGATCGGGCTGATCTGCGGTAAGTGGCCATCTCACAATTGCATGATGACTCCTGAGGTCTCGAGTCTCCGTAGTGTAGTTGAGGCGTTTGGTCGGGTAGTCATAGATTGCTTCGATCTTTCCCACCTCAGAAGGAGGCGATCCCGCCGAAACGTAAGCCGGAATAAATAGTTTTATCAGCCTCGTCTGAGTTCGAGCCAAGAAACCAACATTTGCAAGTGAGATTCTTGTAATGGGACAACAGTTGGTACCGGTTCTTGTTGTATGCAACATTGGTAGAATTGAAGAGTTGGTTTCAAAACGAGGTCTTTCAATGAACTGCTGGTATATTGATGACCGTTTTGTCGTAATATATCAGATTATAGCTTAGCGAGGGCTACATCTGAAGGTGTAGCGGGAGCGGGTGCTCTTCTCCTTGAGGGTGTTCTTCTGTGATACAATAATCTTGCCTATATATGTTTATCGCTAATACGACATTATAAACAGAACAGGGGGAACGGGTCAAGACGAGGAGGCCATACGGCCCAGGCGATGATCCACGGCGGCAGAGTAAAGTAAGTCGACCCGGCTGTCTCGAACCATCCTCTTTTATATCGGTCTTGCGCGACTTTGCATATTAGATTGATGGCGGCGGACACAGCGAAGCGAGGACTCGACATCTCCATTCCTTACAGTAAGCTCGTCCTCGAGCTTCGATTGTGGTTTCAGTATGGCACAGGCACTCTCATAAAGCGTGAAGCTACATAAAACAGATGAGATGCATGGTACAACATTTGTGCCATAAACGAACATTGTAGTAAGAATGTAAAGTCGGAAGCGGGAAAGGGCGACCCGTTAAAATTGTGCCCTTGGATGCATCGCATTGAATAGAATGAATTGTGAGTTTGGAACGGCTAGGGCAGATAGATTTCGATAGATTGCGGCTAGATTTCGCCCCGATCAGGTGATTCCCGTCAAAAGTTACAATGTTCCCTTTTTCGAAGTAGATATTAGTGAAACTGGTGCATTTCTCCTCGAAAAACCATGGGTATGAGTAATGGATCTGGTTATCGGAGCCATATACATTAGGTGATAAGGGATCTAGGGGGTGTTTTCATATTTTTTAGTTTTTGTTATATATTTGCAAAGAGTTGGATCCGTGGGTGTCATGAATTCTCCGCCATTTTGACAGAAAAGGATAAGTGAAGATAAGACAATGCACATATTTTTCTGGTTTTGTTGAAACAATGATATGCTGTCATAAAAAGAGGTTCTGTACGTTAAACGTAAGCGTTAGCAACGGTTATAACAACGTTCGATACGTTAGGTGCGCTGACGCATTCTGTGGAATAAAACTCAACCGCTAGAAGTAAACTATTGTTCTCTTGGAACAAATTCAACCTGAATTATTGGATTTGTACTCGATATTTAATTACATGTTGATGCAGATAAAGTTTTCGTTTCTGGAGACTTATGCTATGTATACCGTAATCCGAACTCGCGTAGGTAAAAAACTAACAGTTGGCAGCTGGCGCGAGACGGCCAAGCGCTAATGAGCGCAGCTGCCACTGGTCGCCTACATGGAGTTTCGAGTGATCCGGTACGATAAATGATGTGCGTCGTTACTCATTAATCTCGTTTGCAAGTGAGTCGGGCATATGTTCTGCTCGGGATTAGAGTGATCAGTGATCAGATGATCATTAATCTCGAGATGCGGAATGACGCCACAGGATTAGTGATCTCGGTTGGAGTTGCCGAGTGGCAAATGGCAGACGTTGGTGAGCTATGAATAGCTTACTGTTTGCAATGATCCGCAAGAGTTGAGATTGATGAAATCTCGAAGTGCACTAAAATAAAGAAGTCCGTCATGGTCTCATTCCTAGAGATAGTAGGAGTGAGCAATGGTACTTCTAAGTTCCGGATAAGTCAAAGACGTCAAAATAGCGACTGAGTCCTTTGATTATTAGTAACGGCTTTTGTATAAATGCAATAGTTTCTATTTTACTAGACTAGATCCTAGACTAGTAATAACTTTACTTAATGGTATAGTGACTAATTAATAATTTAACTTAGAACGCACTTGGAGCGGCAGCAAGAAACACTGTTTGAAGCCGTCCGTCGGTACTTGTACTATAGTTTCATCCTTATCGTCTTTTTTT